GAACCAACTTCCAAGGGAAGTGGTGATGGCTTCTACTCTGGGGGTCTTTAAGAGGAAGGTTGATGTCTACCTGGCTGGAGTCATTTTAGCCCGGTTTTCTCTCCTGCCCAGGGCAGGGGGTTGGACGTGATGATCTGCAAGGTCCCTTCCGACCCTACTTCTATGAATCTATGACTGTCCAAGTCTGTTGAGCTTAAATGTTCCTTTATTTAACATCATTCAGTTATTACTGTGCTCCTCAGGTTGCTTTCTTAACTTAAGCTAATGTAGTGTATGAATATTTTGGGTGAGAGTGGCTGAGGTTCAAAACATTCTGGTAGGACACAATGAGTAGATTATTAATGCAGAATTGCATCTCCAGGAAATTGCTAACTCCCTGTTTCAGCAGTGCTCAGACTTCAACACATACCCTGAGAAGGCCTGGTCATCTGGCGTTTAAAAGAAGATACTATACCATGCAGTTAGAGGTGTGTGTGGAGTAGTAGTCTAACAAGGAAGGATGCTGAGGATGTAATTTGAGCTGATGCTACAGTGAAGACAAGCCCTTCAGCTATGGGGTTTATTCATTTTTTTCAGTACAGGAATGATCAAGTCTTCAGTACCGCTCATGTATATAGTTATCTGAAAACAAAGATTGGTAGAAATTTGTTGTCAGACTGAATGCAAAAGAACTGAACAATCTTTGAGCAGCAGGAAAAGTTTTTGTTTGTTTTGTTTGTTTTGTTGTTGTTTTTTAACCCGTGTAGACCCTGTGGGCTTGACAGCATTGTGTAGATCTAAATCTTCAGGTGTGAACAGTTGTAACTAAGTCATTACTTCTATGGCAGCTGAACTATTTATGCCAGACTTCTTAAAAGTGTGGGTTTCTGACATCTGGCCTTAGGTCAAGGAACTTTTTGTGGTAATAAGCAGCTACTGATTGTAGGGTACAGTCATAACCAAAGGCAAGTGTAACAGCAGTTCAGGAGAGATTGCCCATGTACATGTTCTTTCTCCCTTCCCATTGCCAGAATGAGCTGTATATTACAGCACTGTATTTAATAGAGTGATTTATCCTAGAACTAAGAAAACGGAAGTACTACAGAGTCGTAAAATAAATAAATAATGTTCTATATTGTCTAGCTTTGTAGCAGGCATTTATTGGGTTAAATACTGAAGGAGGATGGGAGGGGCCTTAACTACTTAGACAAGTCTCCGGTCTGAACTTCAAGGGAGAAGAGACTTCCGAACAGGGTGAGGAGATGTTAGTGGACCCTGTATCATTACTTTCAGTTGTTTCAAACTAGCATTTTAATGATCTTGTTCTTCTTCTGGTCATATACTGCTGTATATGATGCTTGAATGCCATACGTAGAAATAATTATTCTTGCAACCCATTCAAAAGGGACACAACAATGGGAGGAAATCCTGTTTCAGGAAGTAATGTCTTAACTCTCTATAGTCTGAACTTAGGTTTGGGGAAACTCTTAACGTGTAGAACATAATTTTAGAATTTGTAATGGGTACACAGAATGCTTCTGTGATCTGTTTGCTTGCTTAGAGAAGCCAGCCTTCTTGTCCAGTAATCTCAAGGTTTTTCTCTTTGCCTTCAACTTTGCTCTTCTGCTCTGTTATACTAAACTATTAAAATCTAGTCTTTGAAATTCAACCAAAGTACAATGATCAGATAAAGCAGAGCATGAATGAGTCATGTTATAGTTAGATACAGTACACTAATGTTCACAACTCTACACTTTCTGTATGAATCATTTTCCAGGAAGGTGCACCACAAACTGCTGGAATACAGGAGTTTGTTAACACCAATTGGCTTGTAAGTACTGCAGTACCTATTAAGTCTATATGCAGGCTTATTTAAAAGTTTGTATCTGGTAGTGCATCCCACAAAGGGGGAAGGATTTGTGGTAATTTGTACTGAGTTTATGGATATTAACCAAATGCCCTTTTCAGCCAGTCTTGCCAGCTTTTCCATAATGCAGTTATAGCAATGGACATGTTGCCATGTGACACAAAAGCAAAGAAATTTGGGGCAATTTTTTATAATGGTGTCTTTACTATAACTGTATCATAGATTTTAATGCTGAGTTTTTTCCGCTGCAGAAGTCAACAAGTAACTGAAGCTGAGGCAGGATCTACAAGAGTGGATACGCAAATGCAAGAGAAGGCCAGCTTTGCTCCTTATCCAGATGATGAAATGCCAGTGAAAAGCCAAGGGTCGTACAACATTGACTTCGATAACCTGGACAACATCAACCCATTCCAGAGTTCTGCTCAGTTGCAGAAGTCTCCAGAGAGCATTAAGTCTCCCATTCAAGTATCTACCAGCACTGAAAAAACCTGTGAGGAAAATTATAGCAATTCACCATCACTGGATGATGCAGTTTTTACTTCCTCGCTAACTGCTTCTGTGCCAGAGCCTTCAAGGCTAAATGAAGACACTACAAGCTGTATGGAAAAAGAGACAATTTCTCTGGTGTTGGGTAATGAGCCTAAGGTGATTCCTTATGACTCTGAGCTGGATA